TCACTTATCTATCCTTCTTTTCAGGCTGGTCTCAACCACTCAGTCTGCCTTGGTCTGTCAGGTGCTGGAATTACAGACATGCGCCACCATACCTAACCTTTACTTTTGATTTTGGGACAGCATCTAAGTAGTACAGACAGTAGTCTTTAAGTAGTCCAAGTTGCCCAACTTGCTTTGTACTTTCTGTGTCTGTACTGTTAATTCATTTATCCTTCTGCCTCAGCCTCCCAGAGTACTGAAATTACAGGTGTGTACCACATGCCAGCTACCTCTTTATTTTTTTTTATTTTTATTTTTTTCTCATAATTTTACTTCAGTTTCTGTTATCTTATTAGATATGTTAGTGTTTCTTCTCTCTTGTTTGGTCTATTGCAATGTCTCTCAGTATTTTACTGTCTTTCTGTTTTACACTGTTAAACCTTCAGTGTTTTCTATTTGCTTTTGGAGTAAAGTCTTAGATAACAACCTCAACCTTTTGAAGTTGTTAAAAAGTAAATGTTGCCATTTATTGGACATTCACTGTAAGTGACACTGTGCTTAAGGCTTTCAATATTTATTTCATTTAACCAAACACACTTGTAGAGTAGGTATTGTCTTCATTTTACAGATGAGAGTATAAGCTTAGAGAGATTTCATAACTCACCTACTTTAATTGGCAAATGTATTCATTTGTGGTACTTAGGTTCTAGAGTTTGGCTACAGCTGATTCTTCTAATTTTTTTTTTTTCTCTACCTGTGTATTTAGTCTTCTTCCTTTATTCAAGTCACACTGGACAATTGGCTTTTTAAAAAAAATCTTTTATTTATTTATGTGTGTGTGTGTGTGTGGCCAGCTCAGCCCACGGGGGGGGGGGGGGGACTGGCTGGCATGTGGTGCTGGGGGGTTGAACCGTGGTCCCTGTGCTTTGCTAAGCTTGTTCTAAGTTGGTGCTTTCGACCACTGAGCCATCTCACCAGCCCCAGGAACAACTGACTTTTGCCCAACTTGTTTTGTACTTTCTGTGTCTGTACCATTTGCTCTTTTAGTTTCTAGCTCAGTCTTTTTTTCTGTGTCTCTTTCTCTTTGTCATGTTTTCTTATTGAAATGTTCATTTCCTGATTCTTGAAATTGTACTGAACTTTTTGTAAGGCCTTCCCAAATTCTGCTAGTGCTGTAAACATTTTCTTTTTCTTTCTCTTTTTTCATTTTTTCTTGTAATTTGGTCTTCCATTTCCACTATAGCAATTTTTTTCTTGACCTAGCAGCCTTTACTGTGCTAGTCCCGACACACGGTTATTTCATAACTTTGCTACATACTTCATTGAGAAAATAGAAACTATCAGGCTGGAAATTCTCCTTTATGACACTTCATTAAAACTACCTTTGTACTCACATTCTCATTTTTCTTTCTTGTTATAAGCACTTTTCCCTCTTGGTCATCCCCTTTATTTTAAAAACACGTCTCTTTTCCTGCTAGATCATCCTGTTGGTAATCATTCCTCTTGGCTCAGATAGTCTCTGTTCTCTCTCATTCTTTATAAAGCCCTTCTTTAATGGCCACATTCCCTTTGGATTGCTGCCTTTTCTCTACCCAACTTTATGGCCAAGTTTCTAGTTTCCTATTTACCTTCTTCATTTCCTATTTATTCTTGAAGCTCTTCTGGTCTGTTCTCTGCCTAACTACACTCCTAAAACTATTCCTATAAAATCACTAATGATTTTATAATCACCACCGAGGTGGCGGTGCATGCCTCTAATCCCAATAGTTGGCAGGCTGAGGCAGGAGGACTAGTCAGTTCTTCAAAGCTATCTTAGGCTACATAGTGAGTTAAAGACCACCTGAAGTATACAGTGAGGCTTTATCTCAAAAAATCCCCCCCATTACAATGAATACTGTTGCTAAATCCAGTAGATGCTTTTCAGTCCTTGTAGGACTGTGAAATAGTTTTTTTCCTTTTAACACAGGCCTGTCTGTCTGTCTTCCGTTTGTTTTGTCTCTCTCTCTCTTTTTTTTTTTTTTTTTGATACCAGGGATCAAACTCAGGATCTTGCGCTTGCTGGGAAGTTGCTTATGCCGATGAAGTATCTCCCCATCCTTCTTTCTGCTCTTTTTTGAGACAGAATCTCACTATGTAATTCAGTCTTGATTTGAATTCACTTAATCTATGCTACCCTCAGACTTGTAGCAATCCTCCTACCTCAGCTTCCTGGAGTGCTAGGATTATAGGCATGCACCTGGCTATTTTGTATTTAGTACAGGGTCTACAGGGTCTTGATACACAGATTGGACTTTTAGTGATCTCCTGTTTTCAATTGGATTATAGGCGGGAACCACCATGCCCAGTCTCAGTTGCTGGCTCAGTGTGCCCTGGGGGTGCGACTGGCATGGCATTTGGTGCTAGGGATTGAACCCCCATCCCTGTGCTTGCCTAAGCAGGCATTTAGTCCGCTGAGCTATCTGCCTGGCACTTCTTTTCTGCTTTTAAAACCATGCTTGTCTTTTCTCCTACCTTTTTTTTTTTTTTTTTTTTTGAGACAGAGGATTGCTGTGTAGTTCAGGCTGCCTTGAACTCACTGTGACTCAGGCTGACCTAGAGTATGCACTATTCTCCTGCCTCAGTCTCTCAGTTGTGAGATTATAGTCTTGTACCACCACTCTGCCTTCAGTCATCTTTGAAAGCTTTTCTGGTTGTCTTGAAGTGTTCGATTCATTCCTTGGTTGATCATGGTTGAAGTGTTCGATTCATTCCTTGGTTGATCATGGACCATCTTTTTCACCCTATATACATTTTTTCTATATAATCTCATTCCTTTGTTACTGTTTATACAGTGGTAACTCCCAAGTTTGTAACACCCAACCTAGGCTTATCCTCTGAGATCATTTGTAATGTTGGCCTGTTGATGTGAATGAAATCTCCCTTAAATATCCTGTAGGCATTGGATTCTTTGTCTCTCTGCTCAAGCCAGAATCTTTTTTCCTCTTTTTCCTTTCTCCTCTTCCTCCCCTCCCCCTCTATCCTGTTCTGTTGATTCTATCTTCAGTATTTACCTTAATATAATTACTTGCCATCATCACCTTACTGAAGTCCTGATCCATCAGCTCTTGCTTGGCTATTGTAGTAGTCGCTTACCTGGATTCACTGCTTATGTTACACTTTTTTGATGGTGTTGAGTATTTAACTCAAGGTCTTCCATGTGCTAAGCAAGTACTCTTACTGAGCTGTACCTCTAGTTCCATGCTCTTTCCTTCTAATTTCTCATTGCAGTTAGCATAAAGCATAAAGTTCTTAATCTGGCTTGTTAAATCCTAAGTGGTCTGACTTCTGTTAACTTCCATTTGCTGATAGTGATTCAATCATATTGGCCTTTTATTTCTATAATAGGGTAATTTTTATGTGTGTATGTATTGAGATAGGGCCTCACTGCATAGTTCAGCTTGGCTTTGAACTTACTATGTAGCTCAGGCTAGCTTCAAAGTCATGGTGATTCTCCGGCCTTGTGTCCTGAGTGCTGGGATTATAGGCATGTGCCACCATGCCCAGCTAGTCTTTTTCTTACCTCAAGACCACATATAGTGGTTCTTTTGTCTGGAATTCTTTTTTTACTCAGTGATTACTTGAAGTCTTTTATGTTTCATATTAAATACCATTTCTTTAAAGATACCTGCTATTGTTACCCATAATGTTTCTTTTTCCCTACTTAATAGCATTTATCACAATTCGTAATATTTTTTGCTAGCATATTAATTTGACTACTTGTTTACTGTACTACATAGGCAGAGAGTATATATGTTTTATTTGCAGTTCTGTGCCCAATACTTTTTTTGGTGATATTTCACCTCTAGCTATTTCTATAGCCCTTTTTAATTTTATTTAT